CGATATCTGTCGTCTGAGAGCATAGGAGCACTGAATCTCTTTCGGGAGTTCCGAAGGAATTACCGTAGTACCAGAAGGAATCACAGCTAGAGTGCTAGGCAACGCGAGCAAATGTGGCTACCACATTCTTGGCCTCTCGCGCTCAAGCTCTATATCTGCCTTACATTTCCTTAGGCTCATGAGGGCTTTTCTCTGCCGAATTCCTGTCATCACAAACAGAATTATCATTAGTAAGACAAAATTTTCCTATTAGGAAGCGCTTCAGTAGGTGCCCTACTCTGCGAAGAAAAGAGTTGTCTGCCAAAACATCAAGAGATAGGTTTTGGGAAGAAAATACTGTGGGGGTTTTCTAGGTGGAAGCAACTCACCGACCTGCTGAAGAGAGCTACTTTGAGAGAATGGTGATTTCCTCCCTACTTGACCTTGATAACAGTTTGTTATCTATGACAGTGATGTTGTTTTCATTTTGTGCTCATTCTAACTCTACTTTGGTGGAGATACCACAGGGCTGTGCCTGTGTGTTGTGTCATTCCATGGTCTACCATGCCCACTCTCCCCCAACATGCAATCTTGTTAGCCGCAGAATAGCCGACCAAGTGTTGAAGCCGGCAAGCAACCACAACTGATTGGAAACCAGCTGCCGCTGAGCCGAACTAGCCTCCCTAAAATGCCCCAGCGTCGCAGCGACCAAGAAATGTGGCTACGCTTGGCCCCTTTCCACTCATGAAAATCAAAATTTTTCCTACACTCCTCAGCCTCATGAGTGCTTTACGCTGCCGAATTTCCGCCATCGCTAATAGAATTTATTGATAGGAAGACATAATTCATTAGGTTGCCCCAAAAACTCGTGACCATTTCGAACTTTTTTCGAGTTAAGTTTATTCCAGTGAGAAGCAATTTTGATCAACAATATATATGTTACCTTCATCGGCAACTTGTTGCCAACCACCAGGCAAAGAGTGGTTGCCTTGCTTCCAGAAGCTTTTCGGTTCCGTGCCGAGAAAGGGCTGGGTCATTTTTGAGGTGCTTCCAAATATCATATAGTAGTGGATTCCCTAGTGAGATTCCCCAGTCGAGCGTCAGGATTTCCAGCAGTGTCATTTTCGAAACGTGTGACCTCGATGAGGGAGTAGGCAAACATTGCTCGGTTGTGGGATCATATGGAGGATATTTTCCTTCGCTCTTTGCATATAATTACAATAAAGTTCCCTGTTACCACAGCGTTGGCAGGAAGAAATATCTCAGAAAGGAGAGAGCCACATACACAGTCTCACGGCCCGAATTGCGCGACCGGTTCTATCCTTTCTGCAGGATCTAGCCACTAGTGCTTCCGGGAGTGACTTAGTGGATAGCGCGCCAGTGGCTAGATCCTTCAGCTTGCCAGGTTTCAACTTTTGATAGAGAACGGCTATTCGGCGGCTAACACGGTTGCATTTTGGAGGAGAGTCGGCATAGTACAAGCACAACAAGCACGCCTTGTGGTATCCCCACCAAAGTGGAGTTAGACTGAACACGAAATGAAAAAAATATCATTGTTATAGATAACAAACTGGTATCAACGTCGAGCTGGATATAAGGTTGGGATGCCTCCCGATGAGAAATGTGCATCATCGCTATTGCTGGGTTTCGATATCCTCGAAACGGGTTTTCGCCCTTAAATTTTTACTGGGGTCCAGTTCTAAGTGAAGCGGGCTATTCCTCTGAACCTTTCAACTAAGGATCAGTAATATTCCTCTGCTTGTGGAGCCTTCCTGAACCTTTCAACTAAGGATCAGTAATATTCCTCTGCTTGTGGAGCCTTCCTCTCTCCTGAAATCATAAGCTAGGCCCAACAAGACCCTTGCGAGTGTGAAGTATGTAGGCTTTGCCCCGGTTTCAACTGGAGCCGAGCTGCACCCCTCTGACTTTGGATGAGCTTTCCCGCACAAAAACCGCCTGGTCCTTCTATGTTACAGGCGGCCTTCACCAGCGAAATTTTCAATTCACTCGGATCCTTTGAAGTTTAAGACAAGTGTTCAAGCGGTACTTTCAATTGAGTTACAGTGAGCTTCTATGAGTGTAAAGCATGCTTCTCCCCCGACAATTTCAGCTGGGTCAGTCCACCCTGAGAGAGATCGAATTGGACCTCAGCTAGAAATGTAAGGAGTATGCCACATCGCACCCAGAATTATCCGGCTGGGCAGTAGTTGAAATGCCAGGGACCGCTCAAACTCAGGAGATCCAACTCGGCCTCAATTGAAAAGCTCAGAGAAGAAGCCTGCCCTAGACTCAGCGAAATATCAGGAGTATGCCACATCGCACCAAGAAGCGCGGCCACCACCGCTGCGCAATAGTTTGAATGCCAGGGAAAAATCCGCCCAAATTTAGAGAGATCCATCTCGGTCCTAATTGTAAAGCTCAGGAAAGAAGCCTGCCCCAGACCCAGCTCAAATCTATACACATATGGCTCAAAAAGCTGATACATCGAAATCATCAATTCGTCACTGAAGTCAAACTAACCTCTCAAGAGTGGCCGGTGTGGAAAATGGGGTTCCCTCGCAAACGGACGTTGATGATACACGTTTTCTTTGTTTATCACAAGAACGATTGCTTTTCATTTTGATTTTCATTTTGATTCATACTCATTTCTATTTTGACTGCTATTAGTACAAGTGGTATTGTCATTGAGGTACACTGAGATCCTTATGATGTGGAGCAGACTTCTCCCTGACAATTCTAGCTGGGGGGTGTAGTCACCTGGAGACGAGCATGCCGTCGCGACCTCAGCTAGAAATGTCAGTCAGGAGTATGCCACATCACACCCAGAAGGATCCGGCTGGGCAATAGTTGGAATGCCAGGGAAAAACCCGCTCAAACTGCACGCAGAATCCAACTCGGCCCCTATTTAGAAGCCTCACAGAAAAGAAAGCCTGCCCCAGAGACCCAGTCAATCTATACACATTATGGCTTAAAAAGGCCTGCATCACATCGAAATGATCAATTCGTCACTGAAGCAAAACTACAACCTTTCATGAGTGAACGGGTCGGGGGAAAATGGGGTTCCTGGTTTCATAACAACGGCCTTGGTTGCATACGCTTTGTCTATGCTGTATCACTAAGCAATGTTGTTTTTCATTTTGAATTATCAGTTCTTGATTCAATGACTCATTCTATTTGACATGCTATTAGCTACAAGTGGTATATGCTCAATTGACGGGTAACAACTAAGAGATCCTTATGATGTGGAGCAGACTTCTCCCTGACAATTCTGGCCAGGTTCAATCCACCCTGAGAGAGATCCGATTGGACCTCAGCTAGAAATACTAGTCAGGAGTATGCCACATCGCACCTCAGATGGATCCGGCTGGAGGCAATAGTTGAAATGTGCTATGGAGAAACCCGCTTCGAAACTCAGAGAGAGTCCAACTCGCCTAATTTTGAAAGCTCAGAAAAGAAGCCTGCCCCAGACCCAGCTCAAATCTATACACATATGGCTTAAAAAGCTGATACATCGAAATGATCAATTCGTCACTGAAGTCAAACTAACCTCTCAAGAGTGGCCGGTGTGGAAAATGGGTATCCCCCGCGCGAAACGGGGACGTTGATGATGAAGTTTTCTTTGCTTTAATCACAAGAACGTTGTTTTCATTTTGATTTTCATTTTGATTCATACTCATTCTATTTTGACTGCTATTAGTACAAGTGGTATTGTCATTGAGGTACACTGAGATCCTTATGATGTGGAGCAGACTTCTCCCTGACAATTCTGGCCAGGTTCAATCCACCCTGAGAGAGATCCGATTGGACCTCAGCTAGAAATACTAGTCAGGAGTATGCCACATCGCACTCAGATGGATCCGGCTGGGCCAAGAAGTTGAAAATGCTACGGAGAAACCCCGCCTCAAATTCAGAGAGATCCAACTCGGCCCAAAATTTGAAAGCTCAGAAAAGAAGCCTGCTCCAGATCCAACGAAATATCAGAAGTATGCCACATCGAACTCAGAAGGACCCGGCTGGGCAGTAATTGAAATGCCAGGGAAAAATCCGCTCAAGATTTCAAGAGAAGATCCAACTCCGGCTCTAATTGTAAATGGTCAAGCAGAAAAAGAACGCCCTGCACTCAGACCAAACGCATCAAATCTATCCCACAATATGGCCTCAAAAAACGCTGATACATCGAAATCTCAATTCGATCACTGAAGCAAGAACTCAAGCTATTCCAAAAGTGACGGTCGGGCGAAAATGGGCGGTTCCTTTCGAACAAGACAGTTTTGATACGCTTTCTATTGTGCTATCACAAGAATGTTGTTTCATTTCTTGATTTTCATTTTGATTCACAAACTCATTCCCTATTTTGACTGCTATTAGTACAAGTTCGGGTGATTGTCAGTTGCACGTACACTGAAGATATCCTATGGCTGTGGAGCAGAACTTACGTTCACCTGACAATTCTGCGCGGGTTCAATCCACCCTGAGAGAGCAGTCCGCATTCGGTGAAGGACAAAGGCTATCGGCTGGGTATGCATCGGGCACCCAAACAACTTGTACCTCAAACTTGGGTAATTAAACCTTTATCTGATATGATGACTAAATACGCAATACGTAAAAGATGAATAGGTACAGTCCTCATCATTGCAGACCGGTGGGGCGGTGCGTGTGACTCGGCTGTGACGCGGCAGCGATGACAGTCGCGTCACAGCCGAGTCACACGCACCGCCCCACCGGTCTGCAATGATGAGCACCATATATATAAGTGAATATGTGCAAGATTAGCGAAAGAGGAGAGCCAGCAAATGTTTTCTTCTTTGATCGTCCTTCCTTATATCTGCCGACACTCGATGTTTATACAGTATGATCGTAACACGCGTAGTCATCAGACACAACATCTTTGCGGCATGGGAATACGCGTATCTGCAACATTTCTTTTAGACTGATCGTAATCGTGAATCAACACTAAATGTTCATAAAGGTTACGTTACATTTGGGTTGACGTTTGTCGACACTCCGGCCACCAGATGATATCACCAACGAACCATTGATTCGTCTCTTTTCAGGATGTATATTTCACTCTCCACCTGTTCCACCAGTGCAGCAGCTATGTGTTTCTTATTTGGAACATTACATAACGCGCGATGGTGGAGGCCTCCGTCACCTGGTCTCAAATCTGCAAATACAGTCGAACTCAGCCTAAAACAATACCAGCACTCACGCGTCCTGTATCTACAGTGATGGCCTCGTGGACCTTCCAAACAGTGGATGCACCGTCCCTTTTGGTTCACAATATCATAACGCGAATCTCCATCACGAACTCGAGGACATGCATCTGAGAAGTGATCACCTTCTTCTTCGCAGAACGCGCATCGGGTCCAAGGAGCAATTCCAAGGGACCGATCACCCCGATCCCTATAAGGGTATCGACTGAGATCGTGTTGCATTCTGTTCCGTTTTTCCTCTAAGAAACTCATGCGATTAGTAATTGCTGTATGCCAGTCTGCCCTTTTTTTGGGTGTTGGCTCCTCGTCTGTTGGGTTCTCATGACTCGAATCGGCTGACACTGCTGGGTGCTCATAACTCGATTCGGCTGACATCGTTGGGTTCTCCTGACTCAATTCGGCTGACATTTCAGCCTGTCCGGAACTTTCGAAACTCGTTTTTTCTGTGACCTCGCGGACCATCCTCTTCCAATGTGCCTCGTCATCGTTTTCCTCATCAACGACTTGGGCCTCTCCTTCAGACTCGTCTGTCTTATCACCAGAGGGGGGTGCTTCCCTTTGCACGTCATCTTGAGGGGGTTCATTGGCCACCTCCTTCTTCTTCCTCCTGTCAAGCTCGGCCATCGACTCGATCTGATTTTGGAGCGACTCGATTTCTTTTCTGACGATCCTTTGAACCTGAAAACTCGTTAGTTCATGCTTTTCTCGCATCTCCTTTTCCTGGCGCTGTAACATCGCTGTCATTTCCTTTATCTCAATATTCAAGACGTCCCTTTGGTTGGTCATCAACTCGAGGATTGCTTCAGGTCCGAACGGGTAATCGCGCTCTCTTTTCAACCAGTTCTGCCGACCAAAACCAGAAGATTCTCCATATTGAGTCATATACTCGTGCCAGGAATCCATAATCAGATAACGCGTTCCCATGCGAAGGATCCGTTCCTTCGTCACCTCCGCCTCACGAATGCATTGGGCCGTTATGCGCAGTTGCTCTGCAGCCGACGCGAGAGTGAATGCGTCTTCTTCTTTGTAATGGTTCCATTTTTTGACTAGTACAGTTGCAATTTTCTTTTGGCGCTGCAGGGAAAGCGCCGCCATTTCAAGCTCTATTTGAAGTTGTTCATGATTGAATACTCGTGTTCTTGTTAGATCGGCCAAAAGCTTGATGTCGCCATCCTCTTCATCACTCGCCATCCTGAAAAAATATAAGGCACGTGTTAGAATTCTTTCATGCAGGGCAGTATTTAAGATTCTACAACTCGTATTTTTATTATCTATGGTATTGTGCGTCATGTTCTTGCCGGCTTTAAAGAACTCAGTATTCTTTTTTATGGTTGCGACGGGCACTGTTTTTTGCAGGGTGAGTGAGAAAGCGAAGAAGGAAGCGAAAAAGGAAGCGAAAAAGTCGCGTGCTAAGTCGGCATGGTTGACGCGTTATGAACCAGATAGAGCGTGCCCCGTATGTTGAAATAAAAAAATACGTAAAAACGAGAGCAATTGAGATGCTGTCATGGCTACTATGGAAGATTTGTGCCACTGCAAAATATATTCCCAATGTGGCTGAAGTCCATTGTATTCCCGTAGAGGTATTGTTGATCCTTTCTGCCCACTGATTGGCCATCGCTTGAACCGTATGGGTAAATTTCAGAATGCCGCTAATTTTGAACTGTGTTGACACCGTTCCACATGAAACAGAGCAAGTAATGTGAATTCTGGCTTCAGAAAAGCTAAACTGTAAGGGGGACTGTTTACCCTTTTCGTCACATTCAACTGTAAAACTCGCTTGGTCACAAAGGATTTCTGCATATGTTAGTTTCGATGATGTGCATGTGACCTGTGCTACTGCTCCCTTTGCGCACTTATAACATCCTATGATTGATGTGTCATTCACTCGACATATTTTATCTTCAACAACAATTTCTGTTTTAAGGTCTTCTTTTATCGTCAGTATAATTTCTGACGTAGTCATGGTTGGTACGCGTGCTTGAACTACTCCTTTCCGGTGTCTAAAAAAGGTCAACGAGGGTGTTCTAATGGGTAGTCTGTTCTGCAAATTAATGAACCACTTTGAAATGTTCATTTCTCTGCAATTGCAGTTCGCTTTTACTTCTGCTGGGTTACATGTGCAATCTTCTACCACTTCGCACTGGAGAGTTCGCGCTGCTTCAGCGGTAGGACATTGCAGTGGGGGGTAAAAGGTGTGTATCCCACAAGGAGGTATCGACTCCGTCCGTGATGAAAGGCACGTTGAGAGATGGAATGGGTGGAACCGTTATTGAACTCAATGCTAATGTATATGATAACCATTTGATGGAGATATCCGTTAAGCGTGTTTAAAGTGAATTTCACTTTTGCTGCCTCCGTCCATCTTGCGCACTTGAAAATTTCGAATATTTGACGTGTTCTTGGCTTAAGATATATTCGGTAGAACAAGCATCCCGAGCCCCACCAAAAGCAATCACAACCGGGCCCTCCGCATGACTCAGTGCATGACGTTACGCCGGGGTACTTGTTTCCTTCACTCAGCTCGGGTATCACAGATGACCTTTTTATCGTTGCGCATTTTTCGCCTACGCACGAACCCTTTCGCGGGCATCGTTTACTATCGATGACGTTATAGGTCGTGTCGCGGGTGAAAAGAACAGTTTCTGGCTCACATGAGAGTATGAGTGAGTCCCATGAGACGCGAATTTCGTGCACCACAGTAGAGTTGCTTCGCAACTTAAAGCACGCTTCTTTTTTAAAGGGGTTGATTTTCAGCACTTCAGAAACGCGAACTTTACAAATTTTCTTCTCTGCAGAACACTCTGTCATATGGTGGGAGAAGATGTCCACTTCTTGACATCCCTGAACTGAGAGTAGTGGCATCAAAATTAGTGCCACAGCTAATAGCTCGACTAAATTTATATTCCGCTGTTGTTTGGGTCTCGGATTCTTTTTGAACAGTAGACGCAATATAACTCGAAGTCCATTATAGGTGAGACTTATGAGTGTACGTACAGGTTTCCCAATTATAATAGGTATATACAGGGGGGGGCAAAAAAAAGTCATTTTGCCTCCATGACTTTCAAGGCGCTATAAGTTACACTTTATTAAATTTTTATCGGACATTTTTACTACCATATTAAAGAGCACATTAAATACTATAATGATACTCCGCCACAGCCTTCTGGAGGAGCGCCATCGAGAGATTCGGCCGCGCGAAAGTGAGTGGGTACCGGAGTTGAGCGAGATCGTTGATTTCTCCGCCACTGTAGACCACCCTGTTGAGCTCCGCCCGAACTAGGTAATTGAGTGGGTTCAGGTCAGGGGACATATTTCAATATTACATCTTCATCAGGTACGAAACGCCCTTCCATTCGAAGTAGGCGGGAGTTTTTCCAAAACCCTTCGATTCCATGTGGTGGCACCCAAACCTGTAGCAGCACAAGGTCTCCAAGAAGGTACGGGCGACCACATGTAGGGAGGATATCCTTCTCGAGTTACTTGATGTAACCGCCAGCGCTCACCTTCAGTCGGGGTCTACAAAGAAAATATCGGTCTTCCCATTCCAGGTACGGCCGGTCCACACCATCAACCCGCGCCTTGGTGAATGGGGTGAAGATGATGTCCTGGACCGTAGCGACGTTGCCGGAGCTGCTCGATGTTTGAGGTCTTGCAGATCAAGAGTACTGGTCTCCAGGTAGCTATCCATGGGTGATTCCATTCAAGAAGTTCCGCAGCTGTTTGGAGGCCACGTGAATTCCAAAGGCGTTCTCCACTCAGGCCGCGACTGGAGATGACTTCATATTTTGGTGTACATGAAGGTGAATGGTGAATGGCGGCAGCCGGCTCCTGCTTATAGAGGAAGATCTTGGGTATCTTCCGCCCTGGTACTCATATCCACTTCCTCTGTCTGGGCTGCGAAAACTTCGCTCATATGTGACTCGGCCGGAATGACTTTTTTTGGCCCCCCCCCCCTGTATAGAAAGGCGTCGCATCCTAAGAGTAAAAAATAGAGAAAAATGGCACTGACTACTATTGCGACTGTTGGCCAGCATTCTGGGTTGAACACTACAGCCGTGCCATATTGTGATGTGACATACTCCTGACTGACATTTCTAGCTGAGGTCCAATAATATTGTATATTATTGGACCTCAGCTAGAAATGTCAGTCAGGAGTATGCCACATCGCACTCAGAAGGATCCGGCTGGGCAATAGTTGAAATGCCAGGGAAAAACCCGCTCAAACTCAGGAGATCCAACTCGGCCTCAATTGAAAAGCTCAGAAAAGAAGCCTGCCCCAGACCCAGCGAAATATCAGGAGTATGCCACATCGCACTCAGAAGGATCCGGCTGGGCAATAGTTGAAATGCCAGGGAAAAACCCGCTCAAATTCAGAGAGATCCAACTCGGCCTAATTGAAAAGCTCAGAAAAGAAGCCTGCCCCAGACCCAGCGAAATATCAGGAGTATGCCACATCGCACTCAGAAGGATCCGGCTGGGCAGTAGTTGAAATGCCAGGGAAAACCCGCTCAAACTCAGGAGATCCAACTCGGCCTCAATTGAAAAGCTCAGAGAAGAAGCCTGCCCCAGACCCAGCGAAATATCAGGAGTATGCCACATCGCACTCAGAAGGACCGGCTGGGCAATAGTTGAAATGCCAGGGAAAAACCCGCTCAAATTCAGAGAGATCCAACTCGGTCCTAATTGTAAAGCTCAGAAAAGAAGCCTGCCTCCAGACCCAGCTCAAATCTATCCACATATGGCTCAAAAAGCTGATACATCGAAATCATCAATTCGTCACTGAAGTCAAACTAACCTTTCAAGAGTGACCGGTCTGGAAAATGGGGTTCCCTCTCGAACGGACGTTGTTGATAAGTTTTCTTTGTTTATCACAAGAATGTTGTTTTCATTTTGATTTTCATTTTGATTCATACTCATTCTATTTTGACTGCTATTAGTACAAGTGGTAATTGAGGTACACTGAGATCCTTATGGTGTGGAGCAGACTTCTCCCTGACAATTCTGGCTGGGTTCAATCCACCCTGAGAGAGATCCGATTGGACCTCAGCTAGAAATGTCAGTCAGGAGTATGCCACATCGCACTCAGAAGGATCCGGCTGGGCAATAGTTGAAATGCCAGGGAAAAACCGCTCAAACTCAGAGAGATCCAACTCGGTCCTAATTGAAAAGCTCAGAAAAGAAGCCTGCCCAGACCAGCTCAAATCTATCCACATATGGCTCAAAAAGCTGATACATCGAAATCATCAATTCGTCACTGAAGTCAAACTGACCTTTTGGGAGGGCCGGTCGAGAAAATGGGGGTTCCCTCTCGAACGGACGTTGTTGATAAGTTTTTTGGGTATCGCAGATATATTGCTTTCACAAGTAACAATAATATGTGGCTAAATGAAGCTGCCCTATGAAAATCATCAGCTCGTCATTGAAGTCGGGTAGGGCCTAATAAGCAATGAAGAGGAGCCTAGATCGTCAAACTAATTCGTCAAACTTCATTACAAGTGGTCAGCACACTTTTCAAGAAAAAACGAAACCTGAAGTGCATGGCCATGACGAGTTGGTATCTCTTCCTTTTCAGGCTACATGTTCGCTCCTACAGATTCTCTGTACCGAAACGTCAAGGCTCAGAAAAATCATCTACAATGGAGTCAGGAGGGAATATAGTCTGAATGTCTCCGAGTAAGGACGTCGTCATTTTTGATTGCTTCAGAACTTCTCCAATATGCCTTTATTTCATAATTCCTTTCTTAATCAACGAGGTCGAAGTGTTCAATGCGGAGGAACAAAGGATGTCCGAGGCTGTCTCGTCTTGTAATGAGCACAGGCAATCAGTTGCTCGCTTGCAAGCTAAAAAATAGGTCATGGTTCGGATCCCACCGAGGACAAAATTTTGCTTTTCTACAATTTTTCATTTTTTGGATCCATGTTTGTCTAAATAATTGGTCCTAACAAAAACATTCACGATAAACTGAACAATCCTATGTAAAACTGCTTTTTCCTTCAAGTTCGTTAGTATTCTCATCTCTTCTCCGCTATGCTGAAGCCAGATGGCACTGGAACCGAAAATAAAGTCTAGAATCGTGATCAGGACTGTCGATTACCCCTAGGAGCAAGTTTTGAGCGAAAAATTTTTTTGACTTTTTCGGGTTGTAGGTGACCGACCATTTGGTCGGCAGTGTGAGCGGAGTCTCACATCTTCGTAACAGCGATGCGTATCGTTGACGCTACGGACCCCGGACAACCCAATAAGCAAACCCAAGAAGGTCAAAACAATTGTTTTGACCGAAAATTCGTTTTTAGTGGTAATCAGTGGCCCTGATCACAAATATAACACCTATTCTTGGCGTCCACGCAATTTGGCGACAGAATAGCGCTGAACGTTCCCTATATGATCCAAATGTGGCAGAAGGTTGCTTCATTGTGCGGACCACACCAGCCTTCGCCACACAAATCATATTGGATTTTTGTAAAGTCCAACGCGGACGCATTCTTCGATCCACACGCCCCTGAACTCGCCCCACACCTCGATTCCGCCGTGGCATAGACTGGCATTGTCCCTTAACTCAGCGCTAGTTTCGGTAATTTCTGTAGGTCAGTTTACCCTTGGGGCCTCTGGGTGTCTCTACAATTCGCACCCTTCACATTAGCAACGGCGACGGTCATACGGTCTCTTGCGCCTCTGAAGTGCGCCTTCTAGTTATTTATTATTTTGCAGCAGCAATTGGGCTATGGCTCTGTGGGATTATTCCCTGCATCATGTGGCCGTCATCCCGCAACGCTCCGCTCACTCTAACTTTCACGCCGCAGGGGGCTCACCGCAGCCCAGCCCTGCCGCAGACCGTCGGCTAGCGGCCTGCAGTGACGAGTCAGGGTGCCCAAACCCGAGCACTGGAGACCCCACCTCCCCCACCCTCCCGTTACCAATTCTTTTTCCGTCATTTCTTCTGCACTTCTGCAAATTCCGCGGAATTTGCAGAAATGCACTTTTCAAATCGATACGTATGCATTTCCTTTCCGCAATTTCCGTCATTTCCACAACGTCGTCATGTATGAACGCGGCCTATTTGGGGGGGGGGCCACGCGGCTCGCGGCGAGTGATGACTCATCGACTCTTCTGCTTCCTCCTCGGCAAAATAGAAGTAACCTCATGTTTAAGACATGGATATAACACCGTCCTAGCTATATTTTTGAAAGCTTAAGCAGTTAACGCTGATGCGAAGAAACAGTTGTAGGATGGAAGATTTTGCCTAAACTACCAACGATTGTTGCCTTTTTGATGTTGACCGATATCCTTGACTACATAAGATCAAACATTTGTTGTTCTCAGCTTCTGTGGGATTTCTCGGCAAGTATTCGGTGAATCTTGTTTGTTTATTCTAATTTTGCTGCTAGATTAGCGCTCTAAGTATGTCAATGAGTGAAGAGCCGATGAGTCATCACTCGCCGCGAGCCGCGTGCCCCCCCCCCCCCAAATACGTTAGCACCGACAATCATTCTCTTATTAGTCGTTTTCCCTTGTTTTTTTGTTTTGCTATGGTCCTAGCGTCTCCCACTCTTGTTGTTGAGTTTACTTCCATTTTTCGTCGAATATGTAACTGTACGACCATAGCAAAACAAAAAAAAACAAGGGAAAACGACTAATAAGAGAATGATTGTCGATGGGGACTCTAGAAAATGATTATTACTAGGCGTGGGATACGGTAGCGCGGAAGTGGTGTAATGACAACTAGCCGTTACTAGTGTCCGCTTTGCATAGCTCCTCGCGACCGCCCCCAGCTACTATCTTACAAGGGAGGCCATTACCGGCGGTTCCAGGGATGCCTTCGTTGGCTGCTTGAGTCTTATTCATGCCACCACAGCTCTGCTCATTCCGCGAGTTTTTTTTTGTCGTGAAATGCAGATCATGCAGACGGCGATAGCCACCATTAGTCAAAAGATCAACGAATTGCGCAAAGAAACTAAATTGCATCGGGTTAATTTTTCAAGCATTTCAACTGGTATCGAAACTCGTACATCCCTTCATTTTTAATCAACAGGGGAATGAGATTGTGCCGCAAAAGATTGCGCAAAGAAACTAAATTGCATCGGGTTAATTTTTCAAGCATTTCAACTGGTATCGAAACTCGTACATCCCTTCATTTTTAATCAACAGGGGAATGAGATTGTGCCGCAAAAGAATCACATCGCGCACAGAGAAAAAGGTGAAAGCATCTCGCAGAACGTTGTAAGAAACAGTCTGGCCCTTCTCATTAGCCCTGTGTATCGTATTAGAGGCATGCTAGGGCTCTCGTAAGTTTGATTTCTCTTCTCCGCTGAACAATTATTAGTTCCCAATAAATGTGAGAAGGTGCGTGTCGTGCGACAGAAGGGTGTGACATCAAGTCAATCATCACGTTAAGGAGAATCGCCCCATCAATTCGATCGCCCCACACCTCAATAAATAGTGTCCATACGACCTCCCCCCCCCCCCTTCTACGCGACTGCATCTGCTTTTCACTTGCGTTTCAGAGACCCACCTGAAAAAATCCGCTTACCCGTTTGGAGAACAATGCTTTTCCAGTACTCCTATGCTCGGAAATTGGTAGAACACGGTCATAGGCCACTGTCATGTATAGCTATGGTTGCTGCTTATACATGTGGTATTGTTGAATGGTTCATTTGATAGCGCTAGCTTTCAAATACAGTGGAGGGAAAAAAAATTGGAACAAGCTTTGAAAAGTCACTCTCACCTGTTCTTAGCTATTTATTCTGCTCTCAAACGCCAGTATTAAGGTTGAAAGCTAAGAATCAATTTTATAGCACAATGAGAAAGTGATGATATGAGACTCGAATCCGGATTACTATATCATCCAAATCAACTTCCTCATCAAAGCATCATTCACTTCTTTCAAAAGTAAAAGGGGAGATAGTTCCGAGTAAAATGGGAGAAGAATCACAAGAAAACACATGAAAATGTTCGTGATGGTACTTGCGTACTACTCGCATTATTATTTGTACATAACTTTTGGCAAAAATCTTCCTAGCCCGACTCCAATCAACCCTAAGAAAGCAAAGAAATAAACCTGCTCTTTGCCCACCAACAATTGCATGAAAACCTGTCTAAAGAGTAAAATGTAAAAGAATTGTCGAAACAACCAACAC